GTTACCTCCATTTTGCTTCTGCTGGGCTCAAAAAACTTAAAAGATGGACATAAAGCCTTCTGTAGTAGAGGAGAGTGGGGCCTGGTTTGCTATGGTCCTTGGGATCATGAAAAGTTGGGCACCACTTAGTGAACAAACAACAATGCCCCATAAAAAATATTATTTTTCTCCAACTTCTGGTTAGGCTCCCTTGGCGATGGACTGAAATCTGCGATTGTGCACAGTTTCAGTTTATGCTTGCTGCTGGAGGGCCCCGATCTACCTGATTTGGGGCCAAAGCCACCCGTAGAGGTGGTGGAGAAAGGGGAGAATGCCAGCTGAGTTGAGGGGAGCAGCATTTCCCTTCCTTGGCGAGGCATAAAACTCCTCTCCGAAGGCAGATACAGCAGTGGCCAAAATGGTCATCACAAAGAGGAAGATCTGACAAGACAAGATTGTGCAGGAGCGGAAAAGAATAGGACAGCTTGGGTGACTGGACTAAACAGGATTAACACCTGAATACAAGGTACCCTGGAGCTAAAATACTTAAGAATTCTTTGGAAAAGACTTTTAAAGCTGCGGCAAAGAAGAGGGGGGTGAAGATCTGATAGCTGGAAGTGACTTTGAATTTTGAGAGAAAAGTTTGAAGAAGAAATCAGTGAAAATGACTGACAATAAATAGGTAAACTTAAAGCTGAAATTGAAAGTGTCAAAAGGGAAATAATGAGGCTTTTTTAAACTTAAAAGTCAGAAAAGAAGAAAAAGTGGAGGAAGGAAAAAAAAAGGCAGTGGAACTTGGACATACTAAAGAGTGCCACCTGATGCTAAAAGAAATTAAAGTGAACTTGTAAATGAAACCTTTCTATAATCAAATAGAGCCCCTGGAAAGTGAAAGTGGAGTTGGGAACTTTGTAACAAAGAAAGAAGCAAGAAGAAACTGTTCTGGAATTGTTTGAGGATTTTGGAAACTTTGGACACTGGATTATTAGTGGATATAATTTAAATTAATTCTGGAAAGCAATCTTATAGAATTGTTGTCTAAAAGTACTGGGAAGCATTGAAAGATGGCAGAACTTTATTTGGAACTGAAAATGGAATTAAAAAATATGAAGGAATAATTGCAAGTGAGAGGAGAATCATTTGGCTTTGTTCTGCAATCTTTGGAGATGGTGATTCTGGACAATGAGGATCAGCAAAAAGCCATAGAGGAAGAAGAAGACTTGAATTAAGGGAGAGGCCATCTTTAATAAAAAAAATTGGGACAACGAGGTTTGAAACTTAAAACGGGGAAAGGGCGACTTAAAAAGAGATTAGAGGAGGTAATCAGAAAAAGGAACAGTGTGAGAAATCAACAAAAGATAAGGAAAGAGCATAAGGGAGGATTATAAAAGGAAGTATTAAAGAGGGAGGGGGACAAAAATTGGAGTGAGAAAAAGAGGGGAGAAATAAAAGGGAAAAGAAGTTACAAAAAGCAGAATCAGGAAATAAAGAAATATGGGAAATGAACAAGAATTAAAAGGAAAAGTTTGATTGATAGACACAGAGATAATGGCTGAAAATACAACTAAAATAGTGAATGATTGTATAAATAGTTTAGAAATAAGAAATTAGGTAGAAAACAGGAAAATATATGTAATTAAAATGGAAGATGAAATGGGAATTGTTATTAAATTGAATGTATGAGTAATCTATTAATCTATTAAGTTAGATTAAATAAAAAACAAAAATATGTAAAATACAATTGAATTATATTAATGTATATTAAGGATTTATAAAATGTGATTGAAATGAATTATGAGAAGGATTGTAAGGGAATTAATACCAGTTTTTCTTTTTCCTTTTTAGGATGAACTTGAATTGATTAATTATTTTCTTCCATTTTATTTTCTCTTTTTTTTTTCTTAAACTTAAAATTGTTTAGAGGTAATTTAAAGGGGAAGTATCATGAGGAATCTGACTAAAAAAGAAGTTATGCTATACTATAGCTATTAGGTGATAGAAACTGTAATTGTTTAATGGGATAATTTAGAAGTAGAATATTTAATGCGATGTGACAGGGAATCAACTATAATATATGAAGGTGACACACTTTAATTGGCAACTATATATTATTTCCAAAATTTTATTTCCAAAATTTGTCTGCCTCCTGAAATCTGAAATTTTAAGTGCTCACCACAGTCATGTTTCCATTTTTCCTCTTCCCATGACATCTCCCAATGCTTTCATATCCAAGTTTTGGAATACTCAACTCTTAACTCTCAGTAATCAGTTCTTCAAATTACTTACATATAATCACACATTATCAGAGTGTTAAAATTAGTAGGATAAAGGCAGGTTGCCAACTAATTTAAAATGACTATAGAAACAGCTTTCCCTGCCATCTTGTCATAATATAGTTCCCTTTTTTCTAGCAAAATGAACTTGCTAAATGCAGTGATTTATGAAGACGATGTATAGCATAATGAAATGCCATCTGTCTCTGCTGTTGTATTTTCACTTAATGTTGTGTTTGTTTAAACCAACTATACATACATTTCTCAAAATGTTGATATAATATTCTTCGGTGATATAATATTCTTCAGAATGGTCTACAGTTTGGGAAGTAGAAAATCCCACCATATCTTCAACCCTTTGTAATTATTACATTTTTCATAAGTAATTTAATTTGTCACTATGCATTATGTGCCATTACTACTTTTATCTACTATATTTAATCCAACTAATGTGGAATAGATAAGCAATTCATAGCATAGTTCAACTTGTCTTAGAATTTAAACTATGCTTCAAGGTTGCAGAATAAATGAATATCTTAAACTTCAAATTTTGGCTTGGTAAACAGCCACCAAAGTATCTCAGAAACACCTTAAGATTCCCTGAACAGTAATCACAAAAATACATCCGGCAGTTCTTTAGGTAAACAGAAAGCTTCCTCACATTAGTTGTTATACAGTCTATAATGTAGCTGTAGCCTGTAAATCCAATTACTCAGACAATATGGTTTAAAAGACAGAAAGAATGGTGTCATGTTTTTGAAATATACTTCTAGAAAATACTGAATACTCAATACTTTCACAATTGTTTCTAAGGTAACTAGACACAATGTCTTTGATTTTAATAAATAAAACTGAATATAAAATAATGTTTTGATCACAGAAAAAATACTCAAGAATAGCATCAGAGTTATGCAGAGATTATCACTAAGGTCAGCTTGATTTATAAACTTGGGAAATGTAAATTATCATTTAAGCTGTATCAGTGCAAACTAGCAGTCTCTACACAGAATGCTCAGAATTTTGTTAACTTAACCCGAATTATGCAGAAAACTTTTCTCCATGCATTTTCAGAGTGCTGCTCTAAATGGCATCTTCTATATCAGAAGATAGTATGTCAAATATTTTTTTTTTCAGAAAGAGGCAGCTTTCCTGGCACATTCCTAACTGCTGATTTTTCATTTTCTTTTTATTAATCTCTTCCAGAAAAACATTTACCACTTTCCATTCTGTAATATACACTCAGATAAGTAGATTTTTAAAAGATGAATACAGATTTGCATTTGGAAAAAAGAGAGATGGGGAACTTTAAACCACATATATTTAATTTCATGTGATAAATCATTTTCTGTTAAACAATTGTTTTCTTCCAGTCTTTGACAATCAATACTGCAGAAGGAAATTCTTTCTGATTATTTATCTTCTATAAATCAAGTTTATTCGATGTATACACAATTACATTAATAAATCTGACTATGTGAATATTGGTTATTTTTAGTTATTTGGTACTGACATTTCAATAACGTTGATTGCTTAGACTTAAGTGCATTTAATTAGCTTGCAGATGTCAAGTGTGGGGATTGATATATGCAATTCAACATGCAAAAGAAAAGAAAACTGCTTTCTCAAAATTGCATAAGGAGGATTTCAGAGTCTTACCCATTGGTCAGTAAAGACTACCGAGTCTTACCTACTGCTCAGTAAAGAAATACAATATAAATGACCCATGATGAACAGTCATTCTGCTTCTGCTTAACCTATCAGTTGAAGGAGATCCCACATCCTCTTTGAATAACACACTGATTCCTTTGTCATAATAACTGCTGTTATTAAGGGCTTTTTTTTTAAGCAAAAAGGAGTCTGTCTTTCCAGAGCTTAAATCCATTAATCTGTGTCTTGAAGACTACAAAATAAATCTGATTTTCAATGAAGTTCCTTCTCTGTTATTCGAAGAGTGCTATCACATAAACCCTTGGTCGTCTTGTTTTGAAGACTAGACATTCCAAACTCCTTCATTTTCTTTTCATGGGAATATGCTTAACTCTATATTCTGGCTTTTCTGGAGGTCCTCCAGAACTTAGCTATCACAGGGATAGTCCCCAATTTTCTCCTATGATTTAGAGTTTCTAACCTGACATCCCTCCTTAAATCTGTTCCATTTCTTCTGAATCCTTCTTACTGAATTATGTCTAAAACTAGATATTCAAAGTAAGGTATTCTGACACCTGTAGAATAAAATCAAACTATTATTTCCCATAACTTGGCAACAGTCTAAAACTACATTTATGCAGCCACATCACACTGCTGGATCATCGTTAATAATCAGCAACTATTTTAAAATCTTTTGTGCAAAAATTATTATCAAGGTTGTTGTCTAACTGAAAGCTTTGTACTTGTTTTTGTTCTACTTCATTTTGCTATATTTGACATAGTTCTCTAAATCATTGCAATCATTTTGAATTTTGTTTCTTTTTTCTAAGATATTAAACAACCCACTCTTTGTAATATCTATGTATTTGAAAAAAAAACTCTTATTCTTGGTAAACATTGGTATTTCAATCCTCATACATATTCCTGACAAGCAAGGAAATCCAAGTCATTATGTACCACCTAGGGTTCCCTTTATATAGAGATAGCGATCTCTAGAAACCTGAAATAGAGACTTGGTTATCACATACAGCATCATCATATTTACTTGGTATGAAGGAAAACTCCATTACATGACAATGGAATTCTGATTAAGTTTCTTACGTTCTTGGAAAGATGTGAAGAGCATCTGGAATCGGCTATTCCGACTGCCTTCATCTGCCCACATGCGGATTACTCCAAGACCTGTACGCAGCATCACATCATTAGCAACAGTACTGCAAAACTTTGCTTTTAAATCCTCCACTGAGCTACTTCCATCATAGACAGCCACAAAGTTCCTTTTGCATTCATTAGAATTCTGCATTTCATAGTCCAAGAATCGTAAATATATCTATAAAAAAGAGAACAGTGAACATGATAGCATAGACCAACACTTGCATTTCCACATCACTTTTTGCTTTTCAAAGAATGCAATGCTCTACAGCAAGCCAGTTGCGTCACATGCCGGCCACACCCACGCCCAGTTTAGCAAATGGGGGAAAAGTCCTGATATGTCACATGACTGCCATGATGTCATGAGTTTGACACCCCTGCTCTATAGCAAAACAGTAAACAATGATCATATTTATGTTTCTGAATGGTAGCACACCCCAAGAAAACAGGATAATGAATGGAACTGAAAATCCTTTTTCTAACAATTTATTTGTCCTTGGAAGAATTTTCTCAGGTATGCTTATCACAAACTCATTATGATCAAGTCTATGTATGCACATAACAATAATCAAAGGTCTTTATATTATTCAGAACAGAATAGAAAATGAGTATGCTTTTTCATATAGTTTTACCATATGTTACATTATTTACAGAAAAGGGAAAAACATCAGAAATATTTTGTCCTCTTTTCTTCTGTTTGTCCTTTCTTTTTTGTTTGTCTCAAAACTAGTAGATCAGTTGTTTTAAAATCCACGAATGTTTAATAGGAAAAAGGTTTTGGCATTCTTCTCTTATTTCTTTAAGTAGTGAGAACACTACCTGCTTATTTTTAAATAATAAAATAAAACCATCTAGTATTTGTTAAGTTTTCTATAATTTAATTGTGAAATATCAAAATTCCTCTATAGATGTTATCTATTTCTGCATTTCAAACTTTAATGGTCCAGAGCAATGCTTAGCAGAATTGATCAATGCCTAATCAAACCTAAGGCAGGACCAGCAATTAAAATAATCAGTCCAAAATAATTTAGTAAAACCTTTGTGTCCAAAAAACAACTAATAGGCAATAGGTGAGCTTTTGAAGTTTGGGAAATTAGACATTTTTCCATTGAAAAAAAAATCTGCCCACCCATTTAATTTCTTTATAAGTACAATAATGACAAATAGTTTCTAACATTCTGGATAAAGTACAAAAAAGAAAAAAGAGCTATCTTATTTTGCTCATTTTCTTGATTATACTCAAAAATGTTTAGGATAATAGAAAGACAAAGAAATAAAGAATCTGATGGGGCAAAAGCAAGGGAGTTATAGCCCAAAGGAAAAACTGAAGAACAGAACAAAGATGGTGCAAGGAAAACATTTTCCACTTCTTACACTATATTGTAAATATCAAAAATTCATAAACAAGGATCTAGTTCTTCTAAAAATCAGTAGTTGTTCTACTGCCACAGATATAAATGTTTCCTTTTTTAATATCAAATTAAGCACATCAATCCACATTTTTACCACAACCTTTATGGATCCAGGCTCAAGGTGTCTTATAGTTTTTGATATGCATTTGGTATGCAGTGTATTTGGAAAATAGACCTTAAAATCTGTATTGGTCCATTTCCAAAAGAAAAACAATATAGTAAACTTTGGGTCCAACAATTGAGCAAGGTCTTTAGTTTCAAACAGCCTTAAATCTGCAAGAAAATAGTGTGCATTTCTAATTGAAAAGGAACTCAGTATTGTTGCAACACTGCGTTGATGCTATGGGTCCACGTACTCAGTCTTCTTTTTGGCTCCAAAAAGATGAAAAATGACCTACAGATATTTCAAATGAATGCTCTTCTCAAGCCAATTTGTCCTAAAACAAATAGCAACATCATCAAAATAAAACAGCATAATTTTCTGGATCATCAGAAGTTTTAGGTAAGTAGAAATGCTCTAAAGTTTATTTTTTTTATGATCAGTTAAGAAATTCAAAAGCGATGGAACCAAAACATATTTTATTCCAGTCGTCTTGAACTAGGAATAGTTGCTTATCCACTGTGGATGCTGTATGTATAGCCTTGATGTTAATAAAGCAAGACTGAAATCTTTTTCAGGTGGTCAAAACTGCTGGCTGAATTCAGTGTTTGCTAATAATGAGTCCTTCTCACAAAAAAAAAAGCAGACAAACAGCAGACAGACAGACAGACAGAAATATAAAAAGATGCATGGCTTTGATCATCTCATTATGCTTACCTGTAGACTACAGGTAAGTAAATGGAGACTTTTATTGTGAATCTCACATATGACTAATCAAGTACAACTAACTCACGTATTGTGGCATTGCTAGTAATTTCATTCTCCTGAGTAATTTCCTAATACATATACTATTTTACAAAGTAATCCAAATCACTTCTGACATTTCATAACTCTATTATACATCTGAAATAAACTCATTATACTCATGGCAATTGGTTACCTGTCATAATTGCAACAGCTGTAAGAACATTTAGCAAGATTCAAAAACTTACAGAACTAAAAAAAAGAAACAGAAAATATCTAAGCTAATTGATTATCGTCACTAATTAACTTCACTTCTAATCAAGTATGTCTCTTATGTTTTAAAGTCATATGTGCTGAAAAAGTGCTCTAAGAAAGGGACAGAAGTTTTAAAAATAAATTAGAATAAGATCATATGATTTAAAAAAAAAAACCTTCCTCATCTTGAAAGGTCATCTTGTCAATTTAAGAAACTACCTCTCTTCACTTCTGAGTTGATCAGCTCTAACTTTGGCTATTTTAGCACTTATAATGAGATGGCATTAATTATCCAAATCAAAAGTACTAGTTTCTGGAAGGAGACATAAAAAGCAGTGGTTTTGGTCTATAAATGGGATCTGTGTTAAATAAGGGTTGATCTAATAATGCATGTGATATAAAACAGCTTGCTAAAAGAGTTCAGTCTGAATGACTATCTTAAAAACCCCAATCCTTCCTCTTCTGGCTCTTATTTTACTGAAGCCATAGAAGTATATACTTCTCTTTTAGAGACCCGAAGTGTGATGTTTTAAATATCAATACTTTTTCATTGGAGTTCTTTAGTGGGTTCTTAAGAATTTTTTCCCCCAGTCTTTATTTTATTTTCCAATTCCTTAGATAGAGACCATTTATTGCTTACAAATAGAGAACGGGGCTTTGGGGAGTTTTAACCTGGTTTTACTCAAATACTAACAGCATGTAGTGGGGCTCTTTAACTTCCCAGTCAAATAATTATTAGCTACTGCTTCAAAGCAATTGTTGCTGTATCCTATACAGCAGAGAAAGAGAAAAAAGATTTTACTGTTATTGTTTCTCTGTCAATAAGTCAGCTTTTAAAAAGAAATATTTTGTGTTTCATCTCAGTTATATTTTTTTAAATATGAAAAACGCCAGATTTAAGTTGCACTTCTTTATATACTTGCATTATGATCAAGTTCCAGAAACTTAGAGAACTGGTAAGAACATTTTTTCCACTGGACAAGAAAGGAAGAGAGTTATGCTTTTCCTCACAGTCGTTAGCTAGAGAAAAGAAAAAGACTTAGGCTACATGTTTTTGCCTCCAACTGAAGTGAAACCAAACAATGGAGATCCATCTGTATCAATTTTATTTTGCTTATTTGTATCCTGCCTTTATTATTTTACTAAAATAACTCAAGGCTGCAAACGTATTCAACACACCCTTCCCCCCCCTTTCTTCCCCACAACAACCCCTCTGTGAGGTGGGGGCTGAGAGAAAGAGACTTTCTCCAAGATCATCCAGTTGCCTTTCATGGCTAAGGTGGGACTTAAACTCATGGTCTCTTGCTTTTTAGCCTGGTGCTAAATCAATGGTGAAGGAGAAACAAACTGATAGCTGATACTCTTCTCTTAGGCTCCACCACTGGAACAGCCATATATCTCTATAACCATTTGGAAACAATACCAGCACAGAAAAGAGCACTTAGGGAGAAAATCTGCTTTTAAATTCATTTTTTTAAAGGTAGAAGAAATCAATTATTATACAGATGAGATTTAGAGGCACATAATTTTGCAAAGTCTGTGTGCCATAAATCTATTTGTTGCCACTGTTTTTGTATGAATAGAAATCGTATTTTTATAGACAGAGGAAGTGAATTTAATTAATATAAGGTTCTGTGTATTTTTATTAACAATAATTTTTTACTTAATCCTTTGCCTCCTAAATGGTAAAGGTTTGAGTTACTAAATGGTAAAGTCTGAGTTCTAAGTGACTCATTTCATCACCAATCCCTTTTTCTGGGATGCTGTCCAACTTTCAACTGCAGCCTGCAATTCTGGTGCTCCCCAGAAGTCTCCTGTTCAAACTCTACAGTAAGTAGACATCACCTACATTATGACTATGTCCAAGCAAGATAAGCCAGATGTTGTCATCTCTTGACCCCCACCTCATTTTGTGAATGACTATTTCTTCACTGGGCCTTAAAAAAATGAAAAAAATGAGCCCACTGATCCTCAAAGTTCACTTATCCTGATTTTGACATGATATGATCCCTTTGTAAATAATAGCTCAATTATGCTTTCCATTAAAAGGCTCAGCCTGAAAGATTGCTAGATGATGAAGTATAGTTATAAATATGTACTAATTGCACACCTTCCATGGAATCCTTTGATTATAAATAAAGGTTTATCTGCCTGAAGCAAGTATAATAGCAATTACTATGCTAAACTGTTGCATTAAAAACAGAGTTAGTAGCATCCCAATGACGACTCATTTATTTTAAAAAAAATCCCATTGAAAGTGTACAGTTCTGAGATTTCAATCTTCCCTTTTAAATCACTGACAATTACTAGCATTTTGCAAAGAAAATTTTCTAATTTTTCACTGTAATAGAGCGTGGGTGCAAGCCTCGTATGCCCACTAAAAATAACTAAATAGCTATTCCATTAGAGGAATTGAAGTTTTTTTTTTAAAAAAGAACTAGCTCTACTCCCAGGCCCTGGAGTTGAGTACCTGCTCGGTCCCTGTTGCGCAGGATTGGGAAACTATGGCTACTTTATGACCTGTGGACTTCAACTCCCAGAGTTGACCCAGCAATTCTGGGAGCTCAAGTTCACAGGTTGTAAACTGGTCACTGTTGCCTACCCCTGCTATTGGGTATTCTGTGCAGTACGTACATGGAGTGTGTTATGTCTGGACACACATAGTTT